AACAGCACTTACAGGGGACCTGAATTAATTACTTTTACACCCACTCTTTGAAGTAAAAATTACCAACCCAGCGCCCTTCAAGGCGCAGCCGTGGTGAAAGCGTCGGCAGAGAAGCAGCCGGCAAGGAGCCTCCTAGGCGCGTGGCCTTCCTGCTGACTGGTCGTCCCAGCTGGCTGCACACGGGCACTCGAGAGCCTGGGGGCCCCGGGCCAGCAGCAGGTGCCGCTCACGCTGGCCAGCAGGACCCTCAGGACAGTGGAAAATGTTCCAGAAACGTGGAGACACCCCGAGAGGCGTGTGGTCAGTCTGAACAAGGGAAGGCACTAGAAAGAGGGCTTGGCCCTGCGCGAAGGGAGTTATGCTTCACCCACCTGGTCCTCACAGGGTCAGAGGAGGCGGCTGCTTGGGTCCCCGGAAGCAAACAGGCCGGGGACTGCACCGGACGTCCCTGGGCGGCGGACACGGGCTGTGCCGCGGCTGGCGGTGCTTGCGGTGATGCAGGTGTGGCTAAGGCGCCGCACCTGCGCTCAGCTGACTCTAGGCCGCCCCCTCGGCGGCCGCGGGGGGGCTGGGCCGCGTTCTCCGCCATCTGCGCCGCGGCGGCTCCGCGCTGGGCGATGGGGGAGGGGGCGCTGCTTCGTCAGCGTCCCCTTTGCAGAAGAGAGTCACAGTCAGTGGGACAGCAGAGACGCAGGCCCAGACGACGCTCCTCGAGAGCAGAGAGCCCCGAGTCCTCGACCGCGGCCCCAGGCGAGGCCCGCCGGCCTAAGGCCTTTCCGTTTGGCGGCTGTGGGGCCTGGCGGCTGGGCCGGCCCTCGGCCGTGGCTGCTCGTCCGCTGAGGTTAATGAGGGAGGCCGAGCGGCCACACCACGCGGACACCGCGCGACGCCTCCCTCCTCAGGGGCCGCCTTCCGGGGGAGACGCGTCAGCAAGTTGGCAGCTTGGTAGCAAGCCCGGCCCACGGGCGCCGCGGGCTCCCAGAGCCCGGGGAAGGAGCTCACGAGCGCCAGGCAGCGTCTGCGGATGCGCAGACGGGGGCGGGGGGCGGAGGTGTTCACCCTCGGAGCAAAACAGCGGCTGTGGGCCCCAGAGCCCCGATGCTGACGCCCCCCCCCCCCACGGTCGCCACCTCGGCCTCACAGATGCCCACGGGGCTCGGGCACCGCCAACCAGAGGGAGCGGAGGGGCCGGGGCTCTGGACTCCACGGGAGGCCTCGGCGGAGCAGCCCCGCGAGCCTCTGCCACCACGGCTGGCCGCTGGCTTCACCACCGCCGACTTGACGGTAGCGTGGGGCCGCTGCCGCGGACTCGGCGCATCGGACGCAGGGCCTTTCCCCGCCGGGAGGAGGGGTTCGGCCCCGTGGCCTGGACAAGGGCCTCTGGTCACATGGAGCCTGACGCCCTCGCTGGCGGCGAACTTCACGCCCAAACTCCCAGACCCCCCGGGTCACGACTGCACCAGGCTGGGAGCTTGCGGACTCCAGGTAGCGCGGCGCTCCCCCACGGCCAAGGGCGCAGGGGAGCCGCTCCCCACGGAACTCGCTGCTCTCTTCTCGCCGAAAAGGCTAAGGCACAAGGAAGGGCGGCCGCGCCCGACACCGAGGGCCGCGCCCGGCCGGCTGCGAGGCTGGTGACGCTGGCCCAGGGCCAACGGAGAGCTTCACTTCCAATTTTAAATTTCAACTCTCGCTTTGTCACCTACCTTTCAAGGTAATTAAGGATCAGATCATTTCTGTGACATCAAGCCCCTTTGCCTGAAGGACCCCTCAGCAGCCCCGGCGGACCCGCGGGGAGAGCCCCCCAGGCCTTCCCACTGAGGACGCTGTGCTGGCCGACCCTGGGCCCCCCGCTCCGGGACCGATGGGCGCGCCGTAGTGATGTCTCTGGCACCGCTGGCTGCGAGGAAGATCGTCTCGTCCTCTGGGCCTTCACCCGTCGACCACGGTGTGTGGGGGAGGGTCTGGGGCGTGTGCCTCTCGCTCACGTGTGGAAAGTCCTGGGCTTTTACTTCCTCCAACCTTCTCCTGCCTGTCGTCTCCCTTTCCGTCCGCCTCCCTGCAAGGCCAGCAAGGGCGCCCGACGCCCAGCGCCTCCGTCCGGCCCTGCCTGCTCGGCTGCCGTCCGTGCACGGGCGCCGCCATGGTTTCCTCTGCTGCCCCGCCCTTCCTTACCCTGCGGCTCCAGCATCACCCCTGCCGACCGCTGCACCTCTTCATCCACAGTCAGCAGGCACGTGTTCTCCCGCGTGAGGGTGTCGAGACGTTATGTTTATGTCGTTTATGTTTATGTCTGTTTATGTCGGGCGCTTGCAGAGAACCTGTCGCTCCTCAGAGGAGCCGGGTTAGCCAGAAGCGGGGGCTGCGGTGACACTGTGGCCCAGCAGGGTGGGGCAGCGAGACGCGGCCATCCAGCCGGACCCTGGCTGCCATCAGTGCCCTCCGTGAGCGGCCTCTCCCCACGGGCCGTGCCCGCCCATCGGCAGAGTGGGGCCGTTTCCAGCCCCCTCCTGACCCCCTCCACCCCACTGGGCAGCAGAATCGGGGCCCCCCCGGGGACACGGCCTCTGCTTCAACCCCTTCCCTGGGGCCTCGGGGGATGTGCAGGCCGGATGTCCCTGCCCGAGGGCAGTCTGCCCTCCCGCACGGGCCACCAGGGACTCGCTCTGCGGCCTCCCGCGCCGCTGCACCAGGCCTTCTCGCACGCCCTGGGAGGCCCACAGGCCAGAGCTCGGAGCTGCCGCGTCTGTGACGCTTGGGGGGCCTCTCCCTGCCCCCCGCTCTCGGGCTTGGTCAGAGGTGAAACCAGCCACGGCCCCACACTCCCGAGCCAGCGGCGGGGGGCGGGTGTCAGACCCCGTGGCCGCTCCACGGAGGCGGCTCGTTGGCAGGTCGGGCCGCGAGGCTGCCTGGCACAGCACCCAGCCGCCGCTCTCCGTGGGAGGGGCGCCGCACACGAGGTCTCCCCTTCTCGGTGTCCGGCTCCCGGATGGCCAGGACGTGGCTGGTGTGCCCGGTGGACGTCGCGCAGGTGCCTGAATGGGACACGTCACCTCTCCCCTGGGTGAGCCGCTTCCTACCGGAGCCCCAGACGGACGCCCGGCGGCCCTGCTCGGGCTGTCCTCGCCAGCACCCCTCGTCCTTCCCTTGTGGTGCCGCCTGTGTGCCCGCTAATCCCGTCGCTCTCTCACGTCATGTGCTCTCGGGCACAAGCACACGTCCGCCTTTGTCCCGGCAGCGCGGGGTCGTCACCTCGGCCCGTGCTGGTGTGAGGCAGCCCCCACCCTCCCTCCAGTCCTCTGTGCCCTTGCCCGACGGCACCTGGCGTCCATTTCCGCTCTCTAGCTGGGGTGTGAGTCCACGACGCCGAAGCGCTCGCTGACGCGGTGCTGAGGGCCGCTGCTTCCTGTCCCGCGCCCGGTCTTTCAGACAGGGTGTTCTCAGAACGCCACCTTGTCCAGCAGCGTTTTACCTGCACCCCCACGTGTTTCCAGTGGCTGGTGGAGGGGTCACCACACACACCCTCACCCTCCTGAGCTCTCCTCGGGGCGTGAGGCCCCCCTGCCGCCCTGGAGCCCGTCGAGCCTGGGCTGCGTCCGCCAGGGAGCGTCACGCGTCTCAGGAGTCATGGGACTTACCCAGCCTGGCGCGCCACAGAGAAAGCAGGAGGGGAGCGTGGTCATTCACGCTGACCCCGGACTCAGCTCTGGGCTGCACACGCCTGCCCGCGGCCAGCACGTCCCTCCCCGCCGCCCCGCCGCTGGAGAGCAGGGGGCGCCTCTGCCGCGGCCAGTTCCCCTGTCTGAAGTGTCCGCCCCGACACGAGGCCCTGGCTTCCGTCGGAGTCACCGGCTCCCTGGCTCTGCGCCTTCAGGGCCGCGTCCAGACCCGCCTACTGCTCTCAGGATTCTCCCTTCCCCTTGGTCGGCGGCACCGCCTGGGCCACAGACACGGCTTCCTTCCCACAGGCTGTGCGGGCCTCCCCGGTTCCTGAGTCTGTGCAGGTGTGTCTCTAACCAACGTGGAAACGGCCTCACCTGCCCCTCGCCCCGCGGCTCCGTGCACGTGCCTCCAGCCCCCAAGCTGTCCCCCTGGGCACCTGAGCTCTGCTCGGCCCGGGGGCTCTGGGCCCCACCACGTGCTGCTGTCACCCAGCCCCACCAGGGAGCCGTCATTTCAGACGCCGTGTTTCCAGTTCTCAGATTTCTATTTGGTTCTTTTCTCTCCTCTCGTCGCGTCCTCGCCCGAAAGCCCTTTTCCTGATTCCTAGGGCCTCAGCGCAGTCACCACAGCTGCGCAGGGATGGCCTCTATCGGCGATCATTTCCCTCCAGGACGGGCCCGGAACCTGGCCCGTTGCTCCTCGTGTGGTGGGGGATCTGCGGGGCGCCCAGGCTGTCAGGTGCGGGGCTCCTGAGGGCCCCCCGCGTGTGCTCACGTGTCTGTGGTACCGGCACGCGGGAAGGCCGGACCCGGAGATGAGCTGCGCTGTGTGTGCCCTGTCCACCCGGGGGCTGAGTGGTGCCCACGGCCCAGCTGTCCCTCAACAGACGCCACCGCACATGCTCACTGGGGGTGTGGCGCTCCCTGCGGGGCACGGGCGCACTGCCCAAAGTCCTCCCCAGGTCAAACGAAGCAGACATCTGACTGCCGCGGGGTGTCCCACCGGCACTAGCCCCGGGCGAACCCCTTCCCTGCTCAGGGGGGTCCTGGGCACTCAGCACGGCCTGCAGGGAGACGGGCTGGCCTGTAGGGCGGCCTGACCTTCACCCCAAGGAACAGGGCTGATTGGAGAGGACATCGCCCACCACTTGGGACCGTTCGACCAGCCGTGTGACCCTACCACCTACACACAGCACACCCCCACGTCAGGAGCCCAGGGTTCCGGGTTAAATCACAGGCATCAGACGTGCTGGCGGCAGCGGCTCGGGCGAGAGAGGTGGACGAGTATGTACCCCACACACACGCTAACCTCCACGCAGCAGGGCTCTGAGCTCCACTTACCAAACGAATACCTAAAAAACAAAAGGAGAAAAATGTATTAAAATTTTGCTTTGCTTTGTCAAAAAATTTACAGGAGCAAAGCATCATGCTCCCTACCTAAGTAAAGCCCACTTCAGTGACCCCAGGACACTGTGGGTCGGGTCACAGACCCCACAGGCACTAGATGTGGTGAAGGTGGGGGGGGGAGGCCCCCAGGTGCTGTGTGCGGGGCCGCCCGCTACCCAGGACCTGTCTCCCCACAGCCCATGCCCACAGCAGGCCACTCAAGAAATCTTTTAGGGGGGCACCTAGGTGGCTCAGTCGGTTAAGTATCTGACTTTGGCTCAGGTCATGATCTCACAGTTCGTGGGTTTGAGCCCCATGTTGGGCTGTGTGCTGACAGCTCGGAGCCTGGAGCTGCTTCGGATTCTGTGTATCTGTCTCTCTCTCTGACCCTCCCCCACTCGTGCTCTTTGTCTGTCTCTCTCAAAAATAAAGGTCAGAAAGGAATCTTTTAGGAAAAGGCAAATGTAGTAGTGGGTATCTGGCAGTAACTAATTTCTGTAAACAAACACCATGAGAACGCCATAGGCTAGAATCACAGAGTTTAAAGGGCGCCCAATACCCTGAGCACAGATTATCAGAAAAGGGACCCTACATGGAAGGGCTGCGGAAGGGCGGTCTTCACTGTGGAGCGCGCAAGGCCGCGCCTCCCGCGGAATGGAAATGGCCCCGTTCCGCGCCCTGAACCCCGCAGGATGGAGGCAGGAGTCGTGTCTGCGGCTCAGCTCTCTCTCAGTCGATACTCCGCTGACACCTCTGGGCTCCAGGCAACGTTCAAGGCAGAGAGGTGGGGGGCGGGGGCGGGCCTTGTGGAGGGCTGCCGCATTGGGACAAAACGGGGCTCGCGTCGTCCACCGTCAGCGGGGAGCTGCCATGCAGCGCGCCCGGTGGCACCAACCATTGCCCCCCCACGCCCTGCGGCCCCCCCACGCCCTGCGGCCCTCTGGCATCGGCTCTGGGCGCTCTTTGAAGTGCAGGCTCTGTCCGCGCTCTCCGAGGGACGCGGCAGAGGCGGCTTCCTCTGCAGGAAGGACCCCCTGAGCCTCCCGACGCCCGTCCAAATTTCTAGAGATAATCCTCTCTTCCTCGGGGGCCAGGAAGGTGGGGAGAGAGGGACGGCGGCACAGCCAGCCTCTCGCTACAAAGGAGCCCTTTAGGAGCACTGCCAAAGTAAAGCGCAGATAAAAGGATCGGAAAGCCATGTTTTGGAAAGCTGAAGCTATGGGGGGGCCCTCAGGGTTCTAGCAGCTTCCAGCGTCTGAGACGGATGGAGCTGTGGCAGCGAGGCTCGTCTTGAAAATCACTTAAACTCATGCAGTAGCGGCTGCTGAACCCCAGCCGTCTCCTCACTCGTCACCGGTTCCCGGGATGGGGAAGCCCCCAGACGTGACCAGTGACTGAACAGACAAGCCCACAGCGCCAGCAGACCCGCCCCCGCTGCAGAAGCATCCCCGTCCCCCGTCCCCGCCCCACACCTGGGCGGCACGCCTGGACTCCGACAAACCGACCTCACAATGGACAAGGTCACCCACGGGGCCTCAGCGGCACCGACCACCCATGTGATGTGACCTGACGTGACAAGAAGGGCACGTGATCTCTGAGGCCGCCTCCCCAAAGCCACCACCCAGCCCAGGCGTGAGAAGAGTGTCAGGCGGGTCTCTGCGGAGGGACGCTCCACGGCATCCGTGACCAGGCCTCAAAGCTGCAGGTCAGAGGAGCCTAAGGGGTCGTGCCGCCCAAATGCCCTGTGGCCCCGGGCTGGGGCGTCCTGGGACGGATGAGGTCAGCACTCCTGAGTCTGACAAGGAAGAGGCACTACACGAAACCGGGGTGGGGGTGGGGGGCAGGAGCTCCCGTACTGCTCTGCCTTCCGGAAGCCAACAGTTGTTCCAAGGATGACGCTCATCGCATCGGAAGGAAAAGCTAGAGGAGCTGGGCAGGGACCCAATGTGTGCCTATCAGTCAGGGGAGCCGCGTCCCACGGGCCGGGTCCTCCACAATGAACAAAACCGCGTGCGGCACCGGTAGCCCGGGCCCTGGGAGGGACCTGCCCGCCCCAGCGGGACCACACTTCCTTCCCCCGAACACAGCCCCTGGGGCCCTGGGCACCGTTCGAGGCAGACAAGCTCAAGGTCTCGGCGAGGACAGCGCGGGCGCGCCGTGGGCTCAGACATATGCGCCGCGGCCCAGGGCGTCTGAGGACAGGGACGCGTCGGCTTGGCAGTGGGGTGGGGGTGGGGGCGGGGCTGCCTGCCGGCCACCTAATCTGAGGCCCCTTCTTGCTCAATCCACTCCCAGGCCGCCACCTCCCGTCTCCCCCGACAGACGATGCTGGGCCTGGCTAGACAAACGGAACTGAGAGGTCATCTTCACCCCTAAGCACACGGCCTCAGGGGTGGGGACAGTCGAGCACCAGAAAACCAAAACCTGCTCCAGCCACACTCGACGTCTGGTGACAGAAAGGGGGCCCCCAGAGCCGCTCAGTGCCCCCGCACGGGCTGGTCCTGCATCCCTACGGGGCCCTACGGCTCCCGGCAGCCTCCAGGAGGAAGCCCCGCAGGGGCATGGGCCCTGGTGCGGAGCCGCTTCCCTATTTCCTCCTGCACAATACAGTCCCAGGCCCGGCCTCCTTTCTCACGCCGGCTCCCTCTTCATCTGCCCGCCCGCCAGCAACGGCCAAGGAAGTGGAGGAATGCGCGCCCCCAGCTACCGCCCCCCGCAGCCCAGCGGCTCCCGTTCCCTACCAGGGGCCACAAATCCTGGCCCCCAGGGCCCAGCTCGTGCCAGCTGTGGTCTCTACCGCGAGCCTGGCGGGGAGAGGCAGCTGGGGAGATGGGAAATCCTGATTCATCCCTCAGATTTGCCCAGCATATGAAAACGGTGTCTCTTACCTGCTGGGAACCAGAGTGGGAGAGACCCAAAGGGAAGCTGCCGTGTGGGAAGCACAGCTGACGGCCGGAACACAGGCCGCTCTGGGTGCTGACAGCACAGGAAGGTTCTAGAAACACTTCCGGGTAAAATCAGGAGGATTTGGAGTTTGCTAAAACATGGGGGACGTGGGGAGAGTCAGAGGCCCAGGTCTACCCGGGTCCCGGCCGGCAGCTGTGGCCTGGGGGGGCGCAGGGGCATCTGGGGCAAAAGGGGCGGCCTCACGGCCCACGGCCACCCCACGCCCGACCATAGGCCACACTGACGCCGGGCCTGAAGCTCTGGGAGAGGGCGCCCGCAGTGTGGACTCCGCAGGAAGAGGCACACCACCAGCTCTCCTGCGCCTCGGTCCCTCGTTCGTGCCCCTGCATCTCCCGCTACGCCTCCTGCGGCCACAACATAAGGACTTGATGCAGTCAGTGCTCCACTCCCCAAAGCCAAGGGCGCGGGCCACCAATCTGCAGGGGCATCTGACTGCCCGGAAGGGGGCCACTCTCCCTACAACGAGACCTCCAGTCGCTGCCACCACGAAGCGGCTTCAGTAGCTCCCACGTGCCATGCAGTGCCAGGAACGAAGTCAGGAGAGCGGGCGGAGGGCGGTCACCATTCCAGAACGTGCACGAAGCCGCGTGAGGCGACAACACCCGCCTCAGGGGGACGCCAAGCGCCCCAGGGGACCAGCCGGCACTGCAACACTGGTCCTTCTCCGCGGATCTCAGCCCGGACCTCACCTCCAACAAGTATTCTTTCCCCCAACTTCAAATGCATGGGGCACGCAAGGAACGGCCCATGCCTGACCCTCATACTGGGTGTCATGAAAAAGAAAGCCTGTCCCCCACGTGTGGGGCCCTGGCGTGGTAAGCGTTCAATGCTGCTCTGACCCCAAAACTGTCATCCGTCAGGGAAACCCGAGTCAAGGGCAGAGCTGGAAACACCTCGGGGGCGCAGGGCGCCAGAGTCCCGCCAGCCGCCTGCCTGGCCCCGCGCATGTGCAGTGGCGTGCGGCCCGGCCATGGACGGGGACTGCTGGCACCACGGGCACGGCGAGTAAGCCACTGGTCTCCACTGACGGATTTTCTTTTCTTTTTCACCTAAAACATCACACGCACCACTTCTGAGAAACTAGTTTTATTTTATCAGTGAGCTTCACTTAATTGGAATCACACTTTTTTACACACCCAGGGGAAGGAGAGCAAAGCCTCTTTTCCGAGGAGACCAACGCAGGACCGCCTGTCCACGGGCGCCCAAAGTGGTTTTCAGAAACGTGAGCGTGGCCTTGATCCTCCCTGACCACAGTCGACGCCTGACAGGAAATACTTTTTACAGTGAACTTTCTCTGCTTGCTGGACACGAGAAGGCACGACCCAAGCCACGTGTCGCAGATGACACGCGCCGCCCCCACCTGCCTCTGCATGGCGACAGGACAAAGGGGCGCAGAGGGCTCCCTTCTCAGGCGTGGAGTACACTCGCACGTCTCCAATCACAGCAGCTCCCGCGGGTGGGTGCTCCTCGGTCGGCAAACACCCACCGGCCAGGAGACCGTGGGCGGGCAGAAGGGGGGCGCCTCGGCTGTTGGGCCTCCGGGAACCCCACAGGGAGAGGGGCAGACGGGGGAGGAGACCTCACGCCTCACGGCCGCGGGCAGCCTGCGCCCCATCTGCATCCGCCTGAAGGAGCGCGCCGTCATCAGCAGGGCCCCGGAGCGGGTGTGCAGGGGACCGAGATGCCTTCTTCACCGCAGCCTGCACTTGCAGGGAGGGCCTCCTGCGTGCACGCTAAGCGTCACCCATGCCTGCCTGGCCCGGTGCGGCGCCGACCAGGGTCACCCACGGCCAGGAACAGAGCCGGGCAAGGGTGCAGCCCAGACTCCACTCAAAGAGGAGTGCACAGGCCCACGGGGAGCTGCGACGGGCCCGCCGGACACACCCCGGGCCACCGCCAGAGCCCTGGGGTGACTTCAAATCCCACCTGCGAGACGCGCTGAAGGTCAGGTCCGCATGCCCTGGGGTGGACCGTGTGAGTTAGAACCCGACTCTGGGAAGACCGCACAAGCTTCTCCATCCCGGGCCGGCGGCGCACAGACGGCTGGGCCACCGGACTACACTTTCCGCCAGAGGACAGATGGCCGCTCAGTCAGAACATCGCAGCAGACGCCCAGCAGTGCTGCACCTCCTCCATGCCCACATCTAATTCAGCAGGTCTATGCAGACACCAAGGCTCCATGTCTACACCAATGCCCACCCTAACCGCCAAGAGTCCACACAGACGCCAACCCTCTACCCCGGAGCTTCTCAGAAAGCTTTGCCTTTTCTTAGCGTGCCCCGTGCTTCCTGTGGTAGGTGAGCCTTCCCTTCCTCGGAGCCCGGCACTGGAAAGAAGAGCGGGATCCCCCTGACCCGCTCAAACACCCCATAGCACCCCACGGCCACTCAACTTCTGTCAGGCTTCCCTGGACCACGGCCGCCCTGGCACACGGCCTCGCGGTTCCCGCAGGCCTTCTCCAGCCTTCAGGAGAAGGAGCTCCGCTGCGCCCTCTGGCCACGTGGCCTGGGAGCCCACGCCCCCCACAGGGCCAGCCTCACGTGTGGCCCCTGGCACTAGCTCGTGACGGTTCCTCCCGAACAAGGCAGGAGCTGGGCGGGCAGGACCAGAAGAAACAGCCTCCAAGTCAGCCCCCCAGCCCCCAGAGCGCCCCCAGTCAGCCCCCCGGCCCCCAGAGCGCCCCCAGTCAGCTCCCCGGCCCCCAGAGCGCCCCCAGTCAGCTCCCCGGCCCCCAGAGCGCCCCCAGTCAGCCCCCCGCCCCCCCCCCCCGCCCGCCCCCAGAAGCCCACACAGCGACCCTCCCTCCATCCGCAGGGCCCCCGGCTGCAGGAGGCTGACATCGGGGTCTCCGGGGTGGCCATGCCACTCCCAACAGAATCACGGTTATTCCCCAAGAAGAAAGGCTCTTGGATTCTGGTTGACTGGCAGCCAGCAGTCTCTACTCCCACCTAATTAAAATGACGCGAGAAGAAGTCTGCTGCGTGTTCCCAGCTGCCAGGAGGCTGGCTGGCTCCGCGGCCCTGACGCCCCCAGGCCGCGCTCGGCATGCCTGGCCTACGGGCCGCTGTGCCTCCTACTTACCAGACCTGGCCCACGCTGACCAGGGACATGTAGAGGACCCAGAGAGCGGCCATGAGCGCCATGTTGGCACAGCCGGTGACCAGGACGAAAGACGAGGCGCCCAATCCGAGCAGAGCGAGGGCGTCCAGGTTGGCGTCCATGCGCGACCAGTCCAGCAGCCAGAGCACGGTGGGCGCGTAGCTGACGGCGTCCCAGGCCCCGCGGCCCCGGAAGTACCGGCGGACGCTCTCCAGGTACGCCCTGCAGGGCAGCAGGCCGCGGTCTCCGATCAGCGGCTTGTTCTGCTGCAGGGCCACCAGGAAGGCCACGACTGGAAGAGAGAGGGAAGGGCCCGTGAGTGGGGGCGCGCGTGCGCACCAGCGGGAGGGGTGCGGCCGCGGGGGGCGACGAGGCCGGTCTGAGCAGCGGTTTGGAGTCAGAGCAGGAATCAGAGCAGGGACGCGAGGGGCCTGAGTGTTTCTCACAGTCCGGGGCGGGGGGGACGTACCGGAAGACCCCATCTGGAGGCGCCACGGTGTACGGGTGGACAGACGCAAGCCCACGTAGGCTGCGCCGACTTACGCGTGTCGTGTGTGTGCACGGGACACACGGACGTACAACACGTGCCCGCTACCGGTGAGTAGCCTACACTCAGCGTTCGTCGTCATAACACGTGTCTGGACGACCCCGGCCCGGAGCTCGCGCTGCAGCTCACGTGTAAGTCACGAGCACGGTGTTTAAACTACTGGTTTCTAGCAAGTCCCGCCCGTACAAAGCGCGTACACATCCGCTGCACTTGAGCACCTGCACAGAGACGCCACAGGAGGGGGGGGGAGCACGGCACTCCCGCCTACGTGCGCGAGGAGCAAGGGGAGAGAGCCAGGTCACAGGTGGTCACCGGGCAGTCCCACGCAGACACCGCAGGACTGCGGGCCCCAGAGACGAGCTGCCCGTGCTGCACGCGCAGGGTGAGGACCGCTGCGACACGGGCAGGGGTGAGGCCGGGGTGGAGAACGGGGCGCGGTGGCAGCTTCGTTCCCGGTTTCACCTACGCTGGCTGAGGCTCGCGGTGTGACACTCGCTGCCGTAGCCGCGCGACCCCTCGTCTACAGCAAAAGCAGCACCATCCGCTACAGCCTCTGAAGAAAGTGAGGCGAGAGCAGCACGAAGGCCGGGAGACGCCGGGAGCGCTCTCTGTCGGAAGGGCCGTGCGCCGCTCGGCAGGTGCCGTTCTGGAACGCGGAGGGAGCCTCAGAGTCAGGCTGTGGGACAGCAAATACAACTGTAAATCAGTCAACACAGATATGAAAATGGAATCATAGAAGATGCTCAACTAACCAAAGAGAAGGCAGGAAAAGGGACAAAAAGAAACAAGAAATAAGTAGAAAACGAAGAGCAATACGGTAGATTTCCATGTGTCACTCTCAATGAGAGTGTCCCAAACTCACCACCACAGACAGAAATGGTCAGATTGGATAAAAAAGCAGAAACTAAATCTAAGCTGTCTACAAGAAATCCACTTTAATTTAATTTAATTTTTTAAAATATTTTATTTATTTCTAGGAGAGAGAGAGAGAGAGAGACAGCATGAGTAGGGGAGGGTCAGAGAGAGAGGGAGTCACAGGCTGAAACAGGCTCCAGGCTCTGAGCTGGCAGTCAGCACAGAGCCCGACGCGGGGCTCGAACCCACGAACCGTGAGATCATGACCTGAGCGAAAGTCGGACGCTTAACCGACTAAGCCACCCAGACGCCCCTAATTTTAATGTTTATTTATTTTTGAGAGAGAGACAGAGTGCGAGTAGAGGAGGCACAGAGAGAGAGGGAGACACAGACTCGGAAACAGGCTCCCCACTGTCAGCACAGAGCCTGACATGGGGCTCGAACGCAGTACCGGCGAGATCATGACCTGAGCTGAAGCTGGCCGCTTAACTGACTGAGCCACTGGGCACCTCAAGAAATCCACTTTAAATATAAACACATAGTAGGTTGAAAGTAAAAGCACAAGAAAGACGTATCACAAAAACATTAATCAAAAGAAAGCTGATGGCTATATTAATATCAGACAAAAGAGAGACATAAAAACAACAGGAAGCCTGTAAAATGATAAAGGATCGACAAATGGACATAACGAGATTAAATGTGCATGAACCTACCAACAAGACTCACGTGTACCTAAACTGACCTTCCTCATGCCACACGTATGTGTTGCGTACACGGACGCACTGCCTTGGCCGGACACATGCTGATGACGGCCGTGTGTATAGCAGAGATGTATGAGATCTTTAGACTCTCCACCCAGCAGCAAAGTAGATACAATTTTCTAGCGCATGTGGGACATTCACTAGGACTCCACGCCATGAGCCATGATGCAGATAAAAAATAAAGAAAAAAGCTGAACTGTAAAAAATCTGTTCCCTAAACACACGGAATTAAACTAGCAGTTGGTCACGGGACGTTATCTGGAAACACACCCAAATCTCTGGAGATTGTATCACACACCTGTAAATAAACAGTAGAGTGTGTTTTAAATCACAAGCCAGGGGCACCCGGGTGGCTCAGTCAATTAAGCGTCCGACTTCGGCTCAGGTCATGATCTTGCAGTTCGTGAGTTTGAGCCCGGGGTCAGGCTCTGTGCCGACAGCTCGGAGCCTGGAGCTGCTTCAGATTCTGGGTCTCTCTTTCTCTCTGCCCCTCCCCTACTCAGGCTCTGTCTCTCTCTCCTTCAAAAATAAATAAACATTAGAAAAACACACACAAGCAAAATTATAAGATTTTTTAATTGAATGAAAATTGAAAATACAACATGTAAAAACTGACAGGGTACCGTGGAAGCAGCACTTGACCCTCAGTTAGAGACTGGGTCTCTCTCCGTCCCAGTCTGTGTATTTCTCTCGTCCAGACACAGTCCGTGCCCCCAGCCACTCTTTCTCTTCCCTTTGCCTCTCTGCAGAGGGGGATCCCTCCCCTTCGTTGGTTTTCTCTCTCCCAGTTCGTAGTCGTGCACCTAAGGCCCGTCAGGTTGTCCCAGTGGGTCCCTGGAAGCCACCGCCTCTTATCCTGCAGACTCTCCAAGGTCAGAGTCCTTTAGCTTCAACACCGCTTTGTTTGTGAGACAGGGCACTTCAGATGCCCTACTTTTCCGCCATGTTGGCCCCCTCTATGACTTTTAGGTATTGTCCTTGTATTCTGTGGCTTTGATAAACTCGTTAGGTCCAAGAGGGTTGGGTTTTGTTTGTTTGTGGGGTTTTTTTGGCATATTTTTTGAAATCTTCTACATAGACAGTCATATCATGCGTTAACAGAGACAGTTTTCTTTCTTTCCTTCCAGCCTACGACTTTGACTTCTTTTGCTTGCCTCGCTGTATGAGCTAGGACTTCCTCCGCACGATGAGCAGATGTTGGTGGTGAGATGTTCTTGTTTTGTTCTAGACGCTCAGGGGAAAGGACCGAGGCGCCCATCGTCAGGTCCGGTCCTGGCTGTCGGCTCGTGGCCGCCGTGGAGGCTGGTGGAGCTCCCGTGCCCCGGCTGTGCTCAAGCGATCCTGAGTGGACGCTGACGCCTGTCACGTGCGTTTGTGTGTTCATGTTGTTGTATGGCTTCTCTTCCTCAAGTCTGGCCGTGCGGTGAACCACAGACGGATGTGTGAGCCTTGCGTTGCTGGCCTGCAGTTAGCTGTGACATACTACCTGTGTTTCCTCTTTTGTGAGTTTCGGTAGGAGTTTGTGTCTTTCCAGTAATTGGTCTGTTTTATCTAAGTTGCTGAATTTATGGTCTTTGAGAGGTTTGTAGTATTCCTTGATTGTCTGCGGTGTGAGCGGGGCCAGTAGCAGTGTGCCCTCTTCGTTCCCGATACTGCTTCTCTCGTCTGTCTTCATTAGTCGACTAGAGGTCTGTCAGTTATGTTCATCTTTTCCAAGAACCAGCTTTTGGTTTTACTGACCTTCTCTGTTTTTTCTTGTTTTCAATTTCATTGATCTCTACTCTTGTTTTTAAAGATTTATTTTCTCCTGCCTGTCTTGTGTATAATTTGCTTTTTTTTTTTTTATTTTTTAAAGTAGAACTTTAGATGTGAGGCCTTGCTTTCTTTTTGTAAATCGAATATTTATTTGAGGAAGAGCCCGTGTGTGTGCATACGTGAGTGGAGGCAAGGGGCAGAGAGTGAGGAAGAGTCCCAGGAATGCCTGTGCTTCAGCACAGAGCCTGACACGGGGCTCGATCTCACCAATCTCTAACTGAGGGTCTCTCTCGGCCAGGGGCCGGCTGCCGGGACCGCACACCTGGGGGGGCAGCCCCAGGCTGCGTGGCTAGGTCAGGGGTGCAGGCTGCAGTGGGAGAAGGCGATCCCCTCCCTGGGGTGCTGTGGGACACGTGTTAGGCGGTGCGGAGTGCCCCCCCCGCCCCCCAGCACCCAGGTGCACTCAGTGAGAGTTTGAACCCCGGACAAGCGCCAGGGCACCGGAGTCGGCGAGGTGGGACACTCGGCCTCGTTCCTGCCCGAAGCACAGGAAGGAGGCTTGAACACAGTGGTTGGGGAGTGGCTGTGGAGGCGAGACGGGTGGGCGGGCACGGGGTGGGGGGACGGGGGGATTCTTCTCCCCCCCCACACCAGGGCGGGGCTGCAGGGATCAGACCTCCAGGAGCCGACCGTCCACACCAAACCACGCCCCTCGGCCCGGGGACCTGCCTGCCCGGGGAAGCAGGACGGTCTCTGGAACCTGGAACCGCCGGCCCCTCCTCCAGACCAGCGCTGCTGCCCCGCCTGGCTTACCTCTCAGGCAGTTCTTATTATGCAGATCTATTCTTCCTTCCTTTTCTCCTTCTCACCTCTTCCCTCCTCTGGTCTGGTTACTCTGGTTGTTGGTTTGTTTAAGCAGCCACACTTAACCCATTCTCTTGATACATGTTCTACACCCCCTTCTTTATTTCCCTTTCTCGCTCTCTGGATTAAGCTGTATAATTTCTCTGGCCAGTTTTTATTCTTTTTCCTCGCCCCTGGCATTTCTCTCTTTGTATGGGATAAAGCCTCTTCCATCGGCACCACCTCCACCTCGCTGTTTACTCGTAGCTGGTGTTTCTGGTTTGTTGTTTTTGGGTTTCTTTGTGTGTTTGTTTCTGTTTTCTGTTTGTTTGTTTGTTTTCCTTTCCAGGGCTATTTCAATGAACAGATCAAAGCACACCTAGTGGAGGCTCCAAAGCATCACTACCAGTAGGGAGATAAAATAACCAAAGTCACAACAAGAGAGAGCAAGTAACATTCTCCAAGAAACAGCTCCTGAAGGGCCAGGCCCTGGACAATGTATGACCCCTGTTTAGTACAGTAATGATCGCA